AAGGAGCAAGTTATTTGCCATTGGTATGACAGGAATTGAGTTACAATAGTTTCTTAGATGGTTCCAGGCTGGAGGCAAAAATCCACTGTTTGGGCTGCTGATTCATTTTGATCACGCACTCAGCAGCTATTTTGATATACTGCAAATCAGTCTCTGACACAAGCTGCAATTTTGTAGAGTTCGATGAAAAGATGTCTAGATCGAGCTGTTCTGCTGCCTTGGTAAGACCAAGATATAAAATATCCTCTTCTGTCTCTAAAATCTACAATTAGGAGCATTCGTAGTTTCAGAAAGACTAGAGTCTTTTGATTTGTCCCAGTAATACTATAGGGCACTCAAATAAGGTTTTGAAAAAAATATGTGTTTCAATAGGCATTTCCTTGCTCAGGACTCACCTTCTTGACTGCAACCTGAAGATATCAGAGCAAGCAAACCTTTAACTCAAAATTATCTTAAATCTCTGGATGTGGCGCCCATTGAGTCAGTGGGCTTGTGGCAAAAGTACTGTCTGTATTTTTGAGATTTTCATATCTGTCAGGTTACACTACCATAAATCCAAAGTAAAATTACTATCTTTCTAAGACATGAAAGATATATATTGCTGTCCAAAATGCAAGTCCCCCAGTGCAACAAGAAGCAAAATCTGGTTATGTTTCCAGTAAGATTTTCAGCAGTGGTTCTTTCTTTGACTATTTTTATGTCACAATGTCATTTCATCTCTCAGCTCAGATTTTAGCAACACACTATTGAATTTTGTTGTAGGTGACCATAAAGAACAAAGCTCAGTAAAACATTTGCAGCCAAACACTTGAAATGAGTTTGCTTCTTTCCCAGTCCTTTTGTTGGCATTACCTTTCACTTTTTAGAGGAAGGATAGTAATTTTTTGTGCTGGAAAAGACTTCTGGAAGACACTTCCTTCCCTCAGCCACTCTGTCAAGTGTACAAGCTGAGATTTCACAGATCCTGGACCAGGCAAGCAGAGCAGTTCTCTAGGGATCAATAAAAATGTGCCAAGGAAATACCAAAACACTGACACACTCCAGAGAAACTCATTTATGTCTGTGTCTCTTAGCAGTGATTCTTGTCTCCTGTACACTAAACAACCTTCAACCATCTGCAATTTGTGCCTGAATCCAAATGTATGTCTTCAGTTATTTGTTTTGTGTAAATAGGTTGGAACTAAGGTTGACTTCATTTTATGTTTTATATTTTCCTAATTATATCATAATTTTATAACTAATGAATTTACAATGTAATTATTACATAATATTTTGAATATTTATATATCTATATTTACACAAATTATAGATACATCTAGTTGTATTTTTTGATCTTGCTTCTAGGAGAAATAACATTTTTCTTATCCTTTTTGTACAGCCTAAAGCCCTGAAACTGTTGGGAATGGAGGTATGTGCCCTGCAATAAACCTTAATGTCTTTTCCTTTTTTAATAAATGTATGTATTAGCAACATAATGTTTAGATTTGCAGTACTGTAGGAATCAACAGTAGATCTTAAGTTTTTAATGGAAAAAGTGCCACAAAAAACATATATTTGATCTAGATAACTTGTTTATACAGGAGCCAAATGAAGAAAAATGTTTTCCTTCTCTCTGAATCAGATTTCTTTTGTTGATATTTAAACAAAATATTTCAGTCCTTCATATCCAGTCAGATAACCATAAAACTTTAAGGAATTTTAGAGAAATGAAGCAATTCCTGGTACCTGGTGGTATGATGCAGAAATCTTTACATAGGCCAAATTTCTATCTATTTTATTAACACTTTAACAACTCTGATGCTTCAAGGATATAGCAGTATTTGTTTGCTGTCTAGTTTCATACTGCAACTTTTCTTTTACTACCCCCAGATGTAGCAAAGAATAAATCAGATCCCTTCATAAAAACAGTAGGCTAAGATGTGGTATAAAAGAAAAAAAAAAAAAGCCAAGGCAGTCTAGTAAGAGAAACAACATGAAACTGGAGCAAGAAGGGATAAACATGGGAGAGAAAGTAAGAATGAGAGTGAAGAAAAGAGATGATAAAGGGAGAGAAAATGACCAGTAGACTGGAACATTCCCATATGTAGGTAAAGGATACACCTTCTGTAGGTGGAAAGAGGTGGGTGTGCCCCAAAAGACTTTACAATTACAGAAAGTTCTTAGTTTTATTTTTATAGAGGCTTTTCCAAAATTGGTCTGGACATTCTGTGATTATGTTTCGTGTCATTAGAGAAAAGATATGATTTAGAATGATAGTCTAACATATTTTTCCTTTTGTTTAGAAATGGGCATATTGACTTAGTGATTCATTTACATGAAACAATTTGGTTTGTTTTTTCACTGTGTGAGGTATTTTATCCAAAAGCACTGAGTAGGTTGGCCTGCAAGGAAGGTATTTGATGTCTCAGGCATTGAGTCCAATACCTTGTATGAACTGATTAGTCACCTTCATTGGGGAAAAAAAAAACACCTTTCTCTACAATACTCACAGGATGATGTCCCTTTGAGGAGAGGGAGGAAAACCACTAAGAAAAGAGAAGAAGAAGTGGATATTGATTTGGATGACCCTGAGATCAACCATTTCCCCTTCCCATTTCATGAGCTGATGGTGTGGGCTGTGCTGATGAAGCGTCAGAAGATGGCCCTCTTCTTCTGGCAGCATGGGGAGGAAGCTATGGCTAAAGCACTGGTGGCCTGCAAACTCTGCAAAGCCATGGCCCATGAAGCATCAGAAAATGACATGGTGGATGACATATCCCAAGAGCTGAACCGTAATTCCAGGTGGATTTTCTTTCATGTATGCTTTCTTAGGTAGAAAAAAAAAATAGAGCTTGGTGAACCTCCCAAAAGTTTGCT